TTAAAATTATAGACATTATATAAAAAACAGACAAAGCCTGAAGGTTTTGAAAAGTGAAGCCAATGCAGAAGTGCCTGAAAACTGCATTATTTCTGTCAGCAGGAGGTAAGAAAAAAAGAAGTCAAACTGTACAGGAGTTTGAGGAAATGACCCCACTTCTCACTCAGTGTGCAACCTCTGTAAACTCAACCAAATGTATGTTGCAGATCTCGGGAACTTGCCTTTAAGAGTGTAGTTTTTTGGGGGTTTTTACACATTCGATTCAATTCAACTTTATTTATATAGCGCCAAATCATAATAACAGTCGCCTCAAGGCACTTTATATTGTAGGGTAGACCCTACAATAATACATTCAGAGACAATCATATGACCCCCTTTGAGCAAGCACTTTGGCGACAGTGGAAAGGGAAAACTCTCTTGAACCCCCTCCCTAAACCAGGCTCAGGGAGGGGCAGCCATCTGCTGTGACCGGTTGGGGTGAGAGAAGGAAGACAGGATGAGAGACATGCTGTGGAAGAGAGCCAGAAATCTCTGGCTCTGGCTCTCTTACACATCTATATGGCTACATCCATCTCTGCATAACAGGTTATATATAATTATCCTTATGTGTGGAGACAATGCATCATTCAATGATGCACTTCAAGAGCATCATTGAATGATGCACTTCAAGAGCATCATTGAATGATGCACTTCAAGAGCATCATTGCACAACTGAAAGCAGAAATACTTCTTTTTTGTGTTTCCACAGACGTCTGGATGCTACGTGTTCTGTATTTAAAAGGAAAGAAATCACATGCTACTCCATCATTAGCGGCTCAGAATTCTGAGCTGATGTTAATTATTTAAAAAACCCCACACTGTTCAAGTTGTAGATTTCTGTGATGGGAGCTGTGCTTCAAAGGGTGGCTTTTTAAGCTTCCATCTCGTGCTTGACACTCCATTTGGTGTGAGTGGCTGGCACCGTGCAGTGTGGGTTGCACACCTGTGTCATAACTGTCACTCTGGTGGCATCTGCATATTTCAAGCTGTACTTTTTCCAGCCTGATATGAATATCAAGCAGAAGACTTTTGCTACTGCCTTGTGTATGTCTGAATACATGCAGCCTGCGCATCATTTACAATTGCAGCATGGTGTTGTTTCTCACAGCGCTGCTGTATAACTCACATTTGGTGTACGCCTCGGGGATGCTGAAGTGACTGAGGAGGGCATCGCTGTTTCTGTGTGTAGTCTGTAATATTTCTCCAAGCCCTGACAACCCAACAACTCATCTGTGCTCCAGTGTTTCAGGTATTTGTGACAAGTCAAAACTAGCTGTTGAGATTTTCCATTTTTAGGGTATGAATCCTTTTTGTTGGCACGGCAAGACATTCACTTACGGTCTGGTCACGTGCTGCGTTCTGCACAGCTGAAGATGTGTTGGTCACTTTCCCATCCCAATTCAGTGCAGTTACTGCTCAATTTGCTGGAACATCTGTGACAGTCTGGCCCATGTATACGAAGAATAGCCTAAGGTTTGGATAGTGCACCTACATGGGTCCATGTCTGAGTTATCCCAGCTGTAGAAAATTGGCTTTTGGTGTCTGAATTTCCAAATTTTTAATATAGGTAGCTGACTGGTGCAGATAACTCATAAGAGGCCTTGAGTTATTACAGGATTTTTTTTATGTTAGATTTTTAGCCCTTAAATTAAGTTGTAGCTTTTATATATAAAATATATATATATATATACAAGCGATAAGCTAGACAAGAAGCTGCAGTTTGGGGAAGGCCAAGTGGAGGATCTACAGTGGCTCTTCCAGGCCTGTCAGATCCCCA